AGATGATCTTAGACTATATAAAATATCATAATGTAAATTGCTTAATAAGTGTCTAAACTTCGAAATTCTTGATACGTTAATCGCATAAAGGCTGATTTTATATATTATATTACATACAATAGCCGAATTTCGTAGAGGACTTGGCCATTTGCTCGAACTAATCACAAGAATACCCGCTATATGTGCGAGTAAATCGTATTATTTCGATATATGACCGAACATTTCAAGATACTACTGTTAATCGCCGGACAAATGAGAATAAGTAAATACCAAATTGTTTTTTCCTTTACACGAAATGTTTCCATCGACTTTGCGCGTAAAGGAAAAAAAAATGTTTCAATATTTCCATCGACTTTGAACAGATATAGTTGTTTATAGTATGTCTTATCCCGAATAAAAATCATGCTCCTAAAATTACAAAATATAATATTTTTTTCACACTATTATGGAAAATAATAATAAAACAAATGATAAAGACGTTTTTTATAGCAACTGTTTTGGTTACTTCATTGGAATCGAGAAAATAAACAATAAAAATTGAAAATGTTTTCAAAAAATAAATTATATGGATGAAATAGTGTAAAACTCAAGTAAGTTTATATAATTTTTGATTAAATATAATATTTATTGAATAAAACATCAAGTAAAAAAAAATAAAACATTAAATATTTTCAAATGTACTAATAAATGTGACAAAGAAGTTTGTTATTTTTTTTCTAAGTTGTATATATTTATTAATATTTTTTTAAAATAAATTGCTGGTAATTAACATAAAATAACTTGATAAACAGAAATCACTAAAGTATGTTAATAACAAATGTTTCAATTATTGAATGAAAGTGTAGATTCTCCGGAAATTTTAAGTAAAATTAATTTTAGAATACTAATTGTGATTTAATTTACGGCCTCATTATATATTCGGTATTAATGTTCTGCTAACGATCAAAGTTACAGTTCCCATAGCTATTTCAATCATTTACAAATATATAAATTACAATATTCCATTATAAATAAAAACATAGCATTCCGTTTATTATTAAATGTGAAATAATTATTTCAACTGTTCTGTTATTCACGGCTTAATGTAGAATTAAAAGAAATCATTTACCGCAATCATAATTGTTTAATTTAATTAACAATACTATTGTAATGACCATCATCGCGTTTTAGGTATTTTATTATAAGTGTGTACAGAACAACAGAGTGTTGACAGTCCACTTGAATTTTTAATAAATTTCAAACTTTTTCCTAGTCATATTTCACACACAATGTGTTTAATAAATTAAGTTTTTGATGACGCAGAAACTGAAATAATACATAAAATATATAACATTATAGTTCCACCAAGAGCTACACACGATGTATGGTTACTAGAGCCGTCTTTTTCTACGCAGGGGCCATTGAATACACAAAATTTAGGGGCCCATTTAAAAGCAAATCTAGAATTATTATTTCACATTACCTACTTATTTCCAAATTATAACAAACATTTGGAATTTGAAACGATTTTTTTAGACCCATTTCTTTATTCAAAAACATATCAATAATATTATTTTATCGTGGAAATATAATAATAAATAACCTGGTAGCCCCCTCCCGTACTATCAGTGTACTTCGATAACTTATTAATATGATTTATCTCTAAAGAAGTAATTTATAGCAATTTAATTTTGGGTTAAATAGTATTTAATATTAATTTTAAACTATAACTTATTATTTAAGCCTGACAATCAAATGTTTAGCTAAGATAGGTTGTGCAAATATATTACAATATAAAGGTGTAAATTATATTTTTTGGAGTTTCTGTCGGTGGGGGTCTTATTTTGTATTGATGATCGCCGTCCATCATTATTCTAAAATCTTAGCCGATACGTTTAAGATTTAATTATGCTCGCTCATTAAATTGCATATTAAAATTTAATATAAGGTACCTATCAAGTAAAGCAGATGTTTTATTATGCGTTCAGGATATGTGTAAAGTGTTATGTATTTGCACGGTATTATACTACTCTAAACTAAACGCCACTATACAAAATATTAGTTCGTATAGTGCTATAAAATCAATTAAATTAAAAAAAAAAAAAAAACATACAAGTCAATGTAAACCAAGGAAATAATGGGTGCAACGCATTAAATGTTAATCATCGTATTGAAATATCAAAGTAAATGGAAGCCGTTATATATTGGAATGATAATTTTTTTTTTTTTTAAATCAATTAAACCTATTATTTTTATGAAAAAAAATTGTATAACATTATTTAAAAAAAAAAATAAAAAACCATGCAACTAACAAGACTTCAATTAATATTTTTGATTTATGTCGATTTAGAAAAAAATCAAAACGTTCTACAATCTACACTGTCACGTCAAAAATAATAGGTGCAACATATATTAAATGCTTTACTCCAGTTTAATAACAGTTTTTAAATTTTAAATACATTCATTAACAGATGCGTACATGTAGAGTAGAGGTTCAATGTCCCCCACCCTTGAAATTCGGTAGAATTATCAAATATGTTTTTATAGATTATGTTTAAGTAAAAAAATGTATTACCAAAAACCCCTAAAATATTTTTTGTGTACGTGCCTATTCATCATAAATTATGATTCATAATTATATTATAAAAATTTGATCATTCACTTTTATTATTAACATTGTACACCAATAAAATAATTTTTTGTTTTTAATTATTTAAATGATTAAGATTTCAAATATGATAACAAAATATTGATTTAAAAAAAAACGAAATATTTTTCTTTCTCTTCATTTAATATTTTGTTCCCCTCAGATTTGTGATTTATTCCAATGCATTAATGCTTTAGAAACAGAGTTACCTCAGGAAATATCTCTCGAATTGTTTACTAGACAATCGTAATCGTATCGTGCATATGTACGAATATGTGTCTGCTTGTGCGTGCGTAAATTGAATGTACGTTCATGAACGTGTGTGGGTAAATGTGAACGCGCAAATGTTGTACGTGTTATCGAACATGAGGATTTGTCAACTGACACGTTTCAAATGGTAAAATTTCAAAATGTCATTATTAGTATTTAAGTATTACATTAATTTAACCACCAGAATAATACATATAACTCTGAAAAGTTGTTATGACTTTTTTTTTTAACATTCATCAGCTATAATTATAACCGCACTCGCTAGATTTGTATTTTTAACTATAAAAATTAAAAAAAATAAATAAAAATTAAATTTATTATTCAACACCATTAATGAAAAGAAAAGTTTGAATAATTTCTATGAACAAAAATGTATTTAAAAACTCATTTTATATGAAAAAAAAAATAATATTTATAATGATGCGAAGTTCTTTGGAACAATATTCAAATCTAAATATCATGCACACTTAGATAATAGATACACGTTAATATTAGGCACATAATATTATTTGACATATTTATTTGAAATTGCACGATGTGTCGATCAGTAAGCTGTTTTACTAAAATAAAATTCATAACTAAAAAAAATTACCTAATTACTTTGAATTGTTCAAAGCTTTCATAAGAACGTATTAATATTTTATTTTTTGGGTAAATATATTCATATATTCAGCAGTATATTACGGGTCTATTTCGAATTCCATCTTTTGAGTGTATGTTGTACTTTTTCACTGCGTAATTAAGCACATAACTTGAAATATTCGAATGAGGAAATATTAACATTTACATTAAAAAAAAAAAAAAATTCTCAAATTAGAATTCGACAAAGTACACACCTAAAACTATAGTTTACTATTTCTCTATAATTTTCTCAACACAGGCACTGATCCAAATTTGCATTTTTAAGTGTCATTGAAAAGAGTATAATATGCAAGTAGTAAATATATATTATTTATTAAAAAAAAGTATAAAACGACAAATGTGGCGAAATATTAAAAATTATTTTAGAATTGAATGGGAATAATTATGGGTACCCTCTTATATATTAACATACTTGAAAAATAGTATAAGAATAAATTAACCAATGGCCATAATACTTTTTTAATCCCATATTCCTTTTCTTTTTTTTCTTTTTTGCTTGTCTGATACACAAAATAATTTTTAGAAACAGTAAAAATAATTTTGAGGAAATGTTTAAAATCACCACTCTCGCAGATCGTAAGTTCATAAAAAAACCATATGAAACTCTTGGTTTTAGATTCTGATCGAATTGTATCATTTATTGATTCAACCACAATGATGTTTATTTTTATTTTCTTTATCTCATTTCGGTTTTCAACACTTTATTCGGGTATAGTATTATAAGAATACTCAAAAACATACATGTATAGTCTACCAATCGATTGAAAAAGACACAGATGGTACTTTAGAAGAGTTTATACTTCAAATTTTCCAGCTGTTTCAAAAACCTGCAATTTTTTTATTTTTATTTACGATACAACCATTTCTATAAGAAACAATATTTGTTATATCGTAGCAAGAGTGACATAAGATGATGATATTATTATGATGGAAACTTGACATTTTTACTATTTGTTTCTGTACTATTTAGACATTATCGGGGTATAATTATCAACAATTGCTGATAAATTGTCTTCTTTAATTTGTTTTTAATTTTTATTTGAGCGTGTTATTTCAAATTTTCTTATAGACATAATTATTCTCGACAAAATTTACAAAATTAACATAAAATCAATATACTTTCGTTGTTGTACACTAAGCTCAGTTCAACAACGTTTACGATTGCAATGATTTATCATTGCATACAAATTTAAATACACCCACCACCAGTCTCGTTTCTCATACCCATCTTATGTATCGGCGCTATTTTATTATTATTTTTTATATTAATCTATTTAACACTGCATACATTTCATTTAATTTTGCCTCTTTTTAGTTAGGGTGCTCATTTGGTTTGTAGAATTATATTTAAACAAAATTATACCAATCAAATACAAAAAAAAAACTTTCCGGCTTGTCCTTATGCAGTATTGTTTTAAACGTTTAATTATTATAGAGGTAATTTATTGTTGTGTTTTTATAGTATTCACTGCTACAGTCTGTGGTGGAGGCGTGTCAGAAAAAACAGCAATGCCGGGTTCAGCCATCAGTGGGCAAATACGATCCTTGTCCAGGCCACCCAAAGTTCATTCAAGTCGATTATAAATGTCGACCATGTAAGTAATTTTCAACTATATTGCAACACTAAACTATAACTCAATTTGCTTTCATTCTACCACGCATCGGACAAAGCCGAAAAACTCCATTGCAAGTAGTAGTATTAGTAATTTGTAGAAAGCACGTCTTACACAATCTAAAAGAAACTCTTTATACATATATATATATATTATTAAATTTAAATATTATTAGATAACAGTATGACAAGGTAAAATCAGATTATGTCTCCGGCACTATAGATAAAACCTTTATGTTTATAAATTATACACAACACTATACATACAAACTATATGTAAACCAATTAAATCATAAACACGATATATTATAATTCGATCATATACAAGTATTGAAGTGAAGTGTATTACATAGTATACACTTGAAATTTATTTTAACTTAAGAAACATTTATTAGTTCAAAATATCTTCATTGAAATATTCATTAAAAAATAGTATGAATAATAAAAATTCGTTACGAATATTTCGCAATTAAGAGATTAAAAACGTAGTAATAGCATTTGTAGTTTAAATAAGTAAAATAAGTACTAAATTATAATCAAGTAAATTCATGAAAATTATAAAGCTAAAACTGCAGCTGTATATTATAAATTTCAAGTATATTAAACCATTAAGGAATATTATAATATCAATGTTGCAGAAAAATATATTGTACCTACATGTAATATTTTACTTTTCATTTATTAACCATATTAATTTGTTTAGTTATAATTAAATAGTTACAATTAGTAGTTAATCAACTACTACTAAAAAAAAATCTAGGGTTTTTACAATAGAGCAATCATTTTTATCTAATTATCGTAAAATAAAATATTGAAAATTGCAACTAATGTATAACATAATTTACTAAACTGAATCAAATGGTTATTATTATAAAAACCAATTTTTACAATATCAAATAAAAACACTGCATCATACGCCAACGCAAACAATAAATTATTACAAACAATCGTATCCTTACACATAAATTACAGCAAACATAACCGTTCTGATGGTACTTATATTAATGCAACTTAAACAAATAAAAGTAATAACAATATTTTACTAAATTTGCCAATGATGATATTATAATAATACTGTACTGTTTAGCTATCTTGGTAATAACAATATGACTGACTATAGCACGGTGGTCTAATAGGAATATTGTTGAAGTTGTACAAAAGAAATAACCGCACAAAACTTTTTTATTGAAAATATAACTTAAACAGTTTTTATATTGTAAGTAACTTTATATAGTTAATACTTTTAGCTAAGTTTAATGCTTTGTACGTATATATATTATTAGTGGGAAAATGGTACGGTTTTTAGAAATGTTTACATATTTTTGGCAATAATTGATTAGAGATTTATACACATTATGCCCTACCGTTGATTATTATTATTGTTCGAAAAAAAAAATGATCTAATTAAAAAATAATTGCGAACTAACTAAATTATAAACGAATTTACCTGTACTAAATGTCAACTTCGTAAAGTTTAATTGCTCATAACAGAATTTATGCTCTGTTAGCACACACTTCAACTCGTGTTTCGCAAATAAAAAACCCTTCAACTCATTTTTATCACGTTTCTAGTTTTCGGAGGACGAGAAAGAGAATTCCGATCGAATCGATTTTTGTTTAATATTTTTTTTTTCGATTTCCAACCGAATCCAATCTCGTACGCAGTTGTAACATTTCGCCACACGCTCTTGCCAATGCCCGGGTTATTGCACACACCAGTTTCCCGTTCCGGAGGTGTTAACAACGACCACGGTCGTTGTTGGCTGGTGCATTGCAAGACGGGCACGCCGGGAATGATACACATAACAACGTACCGAATATTTATGATTTATACGGTTTAAATGCGAATTACGCGAATAATAATGTGTAGGCGGTTGACCGCACACACCACTTGTTAGATCGGTAAGAGCGAAACGTCCGATACGGGAACACATAATAATTATTCACTCGGGGTAGATGTCGTACGCGTGCCAATTCGAACGTAATCAATGCGCCCCCACCTTTGCTGCACCTATTGCTGCACTCGCGGTCATGTGTGACGTTAACGTGCGAAAAATACAGCTCAAATGCACTAGGTTTTATCGTCTGCTGTACCCGAAAACTTTTGTAATCGGATCGTCATTATTATAACTGCGAGTGTGTCTATGCCTCGGATAATAAACATTTTCCACAGGACGAAACAACCGCCCCTGTTACCCATACCCGCACCGTTTTCAGATTTATGACCACGCTTGTTTTAATACTGTTGTCTTGAATTTATTATGCTCGTTCTGCAAAACGTATAAATGTAATAATAATAATGATGATTATTATTATTATTATTATTATTATTATTATTATTATTATTATTATATCAGTTTTAACATAAAGAACAAAAATATAAAATAAAGGAGTGATGGGATATTATTATTATTATTATTATTATACGACGGAAGATAAATAAGTGCGTATCGCAGGTGACGAACATAATTTATTTCATCAGCGTAAACACGTATTTTATTTAAATTTTCTTCGATATTCAAAGTATCAAGTTAATGAAATATCTGCATTCTGATTCAAAGCATTACTACATTCATAGTACTTAAATATATTATTATTATTATTATTATCATCATCATTATTCTTCTTATTATTATTTATTATTATTGTGTTAAACGCTCTCCATGAATTATATTTATAATCATAAGCATACGTGATGATATTAATACTATGACATGAATATTAAATGTAGACGTGTAGTGAGAAATAATTCACTCATTAGAGAGACACAGTCTACGGTGGAATGTTAATTTGAATTTAAAGTTCTTAACATATTCTATCGTCAGTGTGTATACGAATAATTTTTACAGTTTTATTACATATCTGTTTGAAATTTAATTATGACTAAGGGAATTTTAGTATTTTTACGGATGAATAATTACAATAAGTTTCCTATATTATTATTTTTTTTTTTTTTACGTAAATATCATGTAATTTTTATGTTTTTAATATTTTTTTACTTGAATAATTAAATACTTTTATAAATAATGTAAAACTTATGTAGTTTTCTTGAAAAAAGTAAATTATAAATTTAATTTACTTGGAAAAAGTCTTATTATTAACCTTTTATAGTATATAAGTATAATTGAACTGTCGATAGTCAATTTGTACTTTTTAAAAAAATTATCTCTCGATAAGAATGAAGTACATTATACCAATATACGAATATAATAACTACACGGCAAATTCAATATCATAATGTTATTCCAAATTGAATAGACGAGTTTAAACACTTTGGAATTTTGATAGATTTATGTTTTCTAATCACAAATTAAATCATAACCCCAAATAATAACTATAATATAATAATCTGAGATATTAATAGTACAATGACGAATTACCGAATCTAGAATGTCATATTATACAATTTTAAATGCATTTACATTAGAAAGTTTCAATAGAAAATAAATAAATAGTCACAATAAATAAATGTAAATATCACGTCTATGTTAATATGATGTATAAATATGATATTGCCTAGTCTACTAGTCAATAAAAACTTTGGATGTTTTAATTGATTGATTGTTTAAATGTATAATATTGTAATTTTTGTTGATAGTTTCTCATTTCGTTTTTATTATGAAATTTGAGCAATATACCTAAGCCATTTAGTAATGTCTTACTTGACAGACATATTACATGGCATATACGATATATTATATGTACTTTTTTTTTTAACACTAAACTGTTGTTCAGCTGAAAGGGTCACTATGCAGTAAGTACACACGTGCTGCGCATCTGAACCTTTTAACGAAAAACACACACACTGTGTAACAATTCTAATGTGAATAAATAAACAGTATATAAATGTAATAAATTTGACAACAAGTCCATTTGTTTTAACAAATTTACAAAACAACTCACACAATTGACACAATTTATAAAAAAAAAAAAAACTTCTGAACACTGGACAAGTATTTTTCTATATCTCGAATAACTGTTTCTTATTTTTGCCACATTAATTTACAATTTTCAATCGTCGATTTTATTTACGATTTTACAATTTCAAAAGAATTATTTATATTATAACTATTTAGGTATATGTTGAATTTTTGTTTTTTTCTTATTACTTATTATTATAATATTATAATCTTTAACAAACAAAACACAACACTCATCAAACTCAAATTTACTATTGGTAATAACTTATTATTTGCATTTCATACATTTTTAGGCCACTAACATTTTTATTCACATCTTAAGTTTTTCAAAATCTCCAAAAATATTTTCATATTAAAATTACCATATATATATATTAATCTATATTCGATTTCCAGGCTATTATTGTTCAATTATAAGAATCCTTAAGATCTCGTAGACTTAATTACAAATTAATTTAAGATAAGAATAAAAAACGACATATTATTATAAAAATCAAAATATTTTTCATTCCATTTAAAACGTAAAAATTGAAAATTATTGCAGTAATAGAAGTTAGTAACAACTAGTAGTAATTAACAGTAGTAATTTTTTAAAATAATTGAAAAACCTATTATGTGTGACATTTAACGATGATAAATTACATATATTATTTTTTTGTAAAAATATCATGAAACCGTTTCCTTTATTAATGACTTGGCTATGGAAAAGTAAAATAACTCATTTCACAGATACAATATTATTTTATGTGAGTAATTTAAAATATCTAAACTTTCACAAGCAAATAAAAGTTTATCTTAATGAAAGCTAGTTGTTACGTGTATACATGCATACACACACACATAAATTCATATATAAATGAATTTTTATTTTATTTTATAATTACAATATACTTTATATTTAAATTATTAATAATTATGACTGACAAATACAGAATAATTTGTTCCGTATAAATTGTTTCTATCTACTATTGAAAACATATACAATTAAAAACTACGATACGTATATTAATACGTTACTTAAATATTTATAATTATAGACTTATCACTTTCACTGAAAACATAT